AAGGGTTTCCGGAAAAAAGTCTCAATTAGTCAATCAAAATCTATACATACCTACGTGGTAGAGCCATGGTACAACTATATCAATAGTACAGTTGTATCACGATTGGGTCGGCTCGACTGGGGAAGGATCACGCTCTCACAGAATACCAGCGTAATATAGAAGCTTAACGCTGCTGTGTTTCGTTTGGTGAGTGTCGTGAACCGGAGACCCTTATTACTGGAAAAGAGGCACTCCGTCTTAATCCTCACGGCTGTAAACGCATCTGCATTTTATTCGAAAACGAGGATAGATGTATATGATGTATCACCACAGCAGCCACTTAACATCAGGTGGACTGTGTGCTCGCTTGTCACCCTTATCCTATAAAATAATTATATTCTAGTTTTACTTATATAGAATACGGGTGATAAACGAGCACACAGTCCATCTGATTGTAAATGGATGCTGTGGCCAGTTGAACCGGAACCACATAAATTTCCACAGTTTTAATGGTTTTGTCCAAATTAGTTGTTACCCTAACTGTAAGTAGTTAGTGGAAGGTTTGCGTGTCCGTCACATCACAGAGTCTGCAGGTGCGTCGTGGATCGATTTTAATTAAATGTTGTTTTGAAATTCGACGCACTGTTTACGTCGTACTGCGGCCGTACCTGACATTTTTTTTGTAACACGACTCGTTTTCTTATAGTGGAATAAAGCGATGCAAAACATCTGTTTACGTGGTAGAGCTGCGTTGCAGCTATATTATGATTGTAGCACGAATGGGTCGGTCGGAAGACCAGCGTAAAATGGCAGCTTGACACTGTTGTGTTTCGTATGGTGAGTGTAGAGAACCGGAGACCCATTTTACTGGAAAAGAGGCATTCCATCTTAGTTCTCACGGGTGCCGACGCATCTGCATTTTGATTCTTTATTGAGGATAAATGTAGATGTCTATGGGTCTCAGCAACCATTTACCATCAGGTGGACTGTGTGCTCGTTTGTCACCCTATCCTATAAAAAAAAACCGGCCAAGTGCGAGTTGGACTCTGCGCACCGAGGGTTCAGAACAAATCCGTAGGTATATAAGTTTAAAATTATTAAAAATAGTTTTATTATATAATTTAACTAAAAATTTATGCTTTTCGCAATTTTTCCTTTATCTGTGCTATAAAACGTTGCTTCGTACCAAACTTCAAGATTCTGAGTTCACGGGAAGTACCCTGTAGGTTTTGATTCCCTTGCGAATGTCGAAAATTTGCGGCATAAACGGCTGTATCTTTTGATTGCGTTGGCTTAGAAGTTTGATTTTTTCACAGCTCCAAGGGACAGTAGACTTGAGTATTTGATATGAATTTCAGCTTGATACCTCCACGCGTTCCTGAGAAAAAGGGTCTTGACAGACAGACAGACAGACAGACAGACGGACAACAAAGTGATCCTATAAGCGTTCCGTTTTTTCCTTTTGAGGTACGGAACCCTAAAAAAGATAACCGGAGACCCTTTTTACTGGAAACGTAGCATTCGATCTTAGTCCTCCGGGGTAACAACGCAAATGTAGATGTCCAGTTACCATCAGGTGGACATTGTGCTAGTGTCTCACCCTTATTCTATAAAAAAAAAATATATATTTTTTTTATAGGAGAGGGGGCAAACGAGCATGCGGCTCACCTGATGATAAGTGACTACCGCCGCCCATGAACAACCGCAACACCAGGGGAATTGCAGATGCGTTGCCGGCCTTTTAAAAAGGAGTATGCTCTTTTCTTGAAGGTCCCTAAGTCGTATCGGTCCGGAAAAATCGCTGGTGGTAAACTATTCCACAAGGAAGTTGTGCGAGGAAGGAAACATCTTCTAAATCGCACAGTGGTGGACCGCCAATCATCCAGATGGTGTGGATGGTATCGGTAGTTCTGCCGCGATGTGCGTTCGTGAAATTTGGCGGCTGGGATTAATCCGAACAATTCCTCAGAGCACTCCCCATGGTAAATGCGAAAGAAAATGCTAAGAGATGCAACATCTCTTCGCAGTGCCAATGAGTCGAGCCGATCGGAAAGGACTCGGTCGTCGACGATTCGAGCCGCTCTGCGCTGGATGCGGTCAAGTGGAAGAAGCTGGCACTGGGGAGCCCCAGCCCAGAGATGGGAACAGTATTCCATGTGAGGCCGAACCTGCGCCTTGTAAAGTTGCAGGCGTTGAGCCGGCATGAAATACTGTCCCGCTCTGCTGAGCACGCCAAGCTTTTTAGAGGCCAATTTGGCCTTCTCTTCCAAGTGACCACGAAACTGCACGCTACTCGATATGTCGACGCCGAGGATTCCGATACTGGCTGAGGCAACAAGGGGTACCTTGAAACTGAGGAGATACGACAAAGGGGTTCTTTTTAGCGGTAAACGCGCAAACTTGTGTCTTCTGAGGATTAAACTGGACTAGATTTAGTCGCCCCCAATCCGAGACTTTGTCCAGCAAAGACTCGACTTCAGGCACAAGTTTGTTCCGGTACTCGGTGACGTTTTCCCGAGAAATATTGGCACGGCCGGTGTATAGAGCATCACCAGTGCTGTCATCTGCATAGCAATGAATGCTACCAGCTTGCAACATATCATTGATATGCAGAAGAAACAGCGTTGGTGATAGCACGCAGCCTTGTGGAACACCAGCGTTAATAGGCTTGTAGTCGGAGCATGCACCGTCTACAACGACCTTGATGCTCCGATCTGCAAGAAAGCTGGTGATCCAATTGCATAATTTCTCGGGAAGCCCATAGGAAGGGAGCTTCGAAAGAAGCGCTTTGTGCCAAACCCGATCGAAGGCCTTCGCAATGTCCAAACTAACGACCAATGCCTCCCCCTTGGACTCTACTGCCAACGCCCATCTATGAGTTAAGTAGACCAGAAGATCACCAGCTGATCGACCCCGACGAAAACCGTACTGGCGGTCACTAATCAGCTGGTGATCCTCAAGGTACCGCATGAGGTGGCAGTTTACAACGGATTCCATTATTTTGGAGAACAAGGGGGTGATGGCGATAGGCCTGTAGTTGGACGGATCTGAGCGGTCGCCTTTTTTAGGGATCGGGTGGACAAAAGCTGTCTTCCATGATTTCGGGACTACGCCTAGGGAGTAGGAGTACCGGAAAAGACGCGTTAGAACCGGTGCCAACTCCGGAGCACACATCCTCAGCACAATTGGGGGGATTCCGTCAGGCCCACTCGACTTGTGGATGTCAAGGGAGAGGAGTGCTCTGCGAACCGAGCGCTGTGAGAATCGCACATCCGGCATGGAGCACTCACACCGCGGGATGGTCGGCGGTGTGTTCCCCCCGTCATCAACAGTCGAGTTGGACGCAAATAGGGAGCCTAAAAGGTCGGCCTTCTCTTTTGCGTCGTGGGCCAGTGAGTCGTCCTCCCTGTGCAGAGATGGTAGTGATGGCTTACAGAAATTCCCTTGGACAGCCTTGGCGAGAGACCAGAATGCACGGGTTCCCGAAGGAAGGCGAACTAGTTTCTCGCCAATTCTGCCTATGTGCTCTGACTTTGCCTTGGCAATAACTCTTTTGAAGGACCTGGAGGCGAAGTTATACTTCTTTTTGAGTGAGCTGGTGTTTACATCCCGAGTCACCGAAGCCGCAGCCCAGGCTTGATAACACTCCTGCTTACTGCGTAATGCAGTCTTACAGGAGCGACCAAACCAAGGCTGAGATCTGCCTCCGATGGGTACCACAGATGATGGAATAAATAGTTCCATTCCCTGTAGCACTACATCAGTGACAGAGTCAGCAACAGCGCTGGGATCATCCGGCGAGAAGCAAACCCGCCCCCATGGGTAGGAAGCAAAGAAAGACCGCATTCCGTCCTAATCCGCCGACCTGTAATGCCAAACACGGCGGCAACTTGCAGAACGCAACCGCGAGGGGAGCGTGAGTGGCACCACACTCCGGATCAGACAATGGTCCGAAGAGCCAAGAGGGGCATCGACGGAAACCTGATATCTGTCCGGATGAGAGGTCAGCAGAAGGTCCAACAGGGAAGGTGTATGATCCTCAACATCTGGAATCCGCGTAGGCGATGTAACCAGTTGTGTCAGACCATATGCCAAGGCAAAGTCATAAACAGATCTCCCCGCATGATCGGTTAAACGTGAACCGAGCCATTCGGCGTGGTGGGCGTTAAAATCGCCAAGGATCACGATCTCTGCGGATGGGACCTGTTGTAGCAAGGAATCTGTAGCCATTTGGACGTGGTCGATGAGTCGGTCTGTTTCGGCATTACCGCTATGGGACCTATAGAGGCACACGTAGACGCGCGGATGGTCGTCGCTGTCTACGCGTAGCCAAAGGATGGACAGGTCCGAACCTTCAAGACTGCCGAGGCGTCGAGAACAGATGTCCTCTCTGACATACACGCAAACTCCAGCCCGAGGCACAAAGGAGTGCTCCAATTTGTACCCCGGGTAGGAGAGATACGAAGTATCAGCCGGAGAAGACACCTGCGTCTCGGTCAGAAAGAGCAAGGCCGGCTTCGCCGTCTCAAGATGGTAGTGGACGGCGTTTAGGTTCGAGTGAAGTCCCCTGATGTTGAAGAAATTCACGGATAGCGTGGCAGGGGTCGCCTTGGTCTTGTTGCTCAGTTTGCCCCGAGCAGTGATTGTGTTGAGCGGAATTTTGCCCCCCCCCCCCCCCCCCCCCCCAGAATACGCGGGGCAGCCTGAGCACCCACGCTCAGGAGTGGAATAGCATGGTCGTGGATGCTCAGCGAGGGATTCTCCAGGGGTACTAGTACCCTCCCGGGGTAGTTTATGACGTAATTCCGCTACCATGATGATGGGGGGGGGGGGGGAATTGGGCATCCGGTCACCTGCACTCACCAGACGAAACGCGGAAGCAGAACTTCCACTTCACGCCGGTATTCTGTGAGGTCGTGGTACTAACCCGGCTCGAGCCGGCCCATACGTGCAACAGCAAAAGCTGCTGCATGGCTCTACCACCGTTTAAGATTAATGTTTTGATTTTTTATTTGTTCCAGTGTTTCTGTGCGATGACTCTCTTCTACTGTGCGCACTGGCAGGCGTACGTGACGGGCACCCTGAAATTGGGCCGTATCGACGTCACGGAGGCCCAATACTCCATAATGGTCATACACCTCATCTCCGCTATCCTTGGCCCGGACTTTTGGGCCACTCAGGTAATGTAGTCCAACTGGATTCGGTTTATCACGTTAACATTTTGCAATGTTCGGATGATTTAATGATAAGGATGATTAGAATTTTTTTTCGATATAGATTACGTGTTCTTATTGAAAATAATTTTTTACTTTTACCGCTGGTTCGGAAGAACCCTCTGTCCTGGGAAGAACCTAGTTAAAGTAATTGAATAGTAGAAATAGTCACTAATTAAATAAGCTTAATTTTTTAATATATTGATCAGTTTATAGAATACTGCAGGTCACTTAAGTTTTTCTATAAGTTATAAGCCTGTAAAGGCATCCATAACTTTTTCTGCCACCAGGGCGGCGCCACTTGCGAATGAGGTAAAATATATGACAGATCTCATGCGGGGAAGTTAACTTTTTAGAAAAGTGTATAGATTAATGTTTCTTTCTAAAATATTAGTTATATTTTATGTTAATTAGATTAGAAATGTTTAAGTTTAGCCCGGGGAGCGGCCAACGCTCCGTGTGTGTTAGTATAGAGCTGTTCTATATATAGCGCAGTACTTCGGAATATTGATAGCGTGATTTAGGCTTCGGTGCGTTTCGCTTGTGGCGCGACGATAGCGCCGCCACAAGCCTAAACCATGGCTTTGCATCCGCCATTCGACTAATGTGAACCACTTTAGGACTGATACAAGCATTTTAAGCTTACCAGGTGCGGTTAAAGGGAATATTAGTAATGTTGATTGTTAACAGCGGAGCTAGATTTTTTCCTTAAAAAATTATACTGTATCGTTTGTATCTGCATATATTATAAACATAAAAAATACTTCAGTATCCGAATATCAAAGATCATTCACAAAATCCATCTTTATGTGAGGAATTTAAAATCAATTATCGGTTGTTGAGGCAATCGTTATTATCAAATCATCCGATCATTACAGAATGTAGTCACAATGCACATTTCATGTCTACAAAATAATTTCATAACAATTGGTTGATGCCTTTGATAGGTACAAAAGAATTAAAAATTCCCACATGACACTGCGTGGCGCAAAGAGAAGCGAGTATAGAGCTAGATAAGTTATAGAACTGCTAATTTTAAAATTATGATTAATAACGGGAGAAGTGAAGTTTAAGTTGTTGTATAATATTAATTTAAGTTTATTTTTTATAAAAATAATTCGTTAAGAAAGTACTGATTATATAAATCTGCTAAATAAAAATATCAAAATTGTATACAAAAATTAAATACCTAATAAAATCAAATTGAATGTTAAATGAAATTCCAATTGAATGTACTTCTAATATTATAATGTCTTTAAAGCATTTAAAATACTTTTACTTCAAAATGTTAATTGATTTTGTAACTAATTAATTAAGTGTAATCAATGAGGATTAAAAGTTTTTTTATTTATTTTATTTATAAAAAAATTATATAAAATAATTTAATTTACATAAAAATTGTCAGTGTATGTGTGCCTGTTATAAAATTCTACTATACTTTCTAAGGGGCGGTATGTTGTATTAAGTTCCAAATTCAAAAATTTGAGGCTTTGCGTATATAACATGTCTGCCACGTTAGGTGGGCGGCATCGAAGTACGGTACTCTCTGGGCGGTGTAGCAGTAGTGGGCGCGGCTCTCTCGCTGGGGACACTTGCTGCCGCGATAGTAGGAGGCGGCGTCGGCAAGAATGGCTCTACGGTTGCAGTGAGCGCGCCATTACGATAACATTGGGTGCTTGGGGGTTGAGGGTGTAGAGAGGTCTTTTTTGCATGATGTTATTTTCATATTTGTATAATATCATGTACGATTAGTAGGTTAATCAGATTCCCGAAAAATATTTCATCTCATGAGAAAAATTTTATAATGCCAATCTACGTAAATCTTGATTATTTCACACAGACTTCCGAAGCTAGTTTGTAATCATCATTGCAACCTCCCTAAGGTTAAGGTTCTCTGCATAATATGCGTGCCTCAATTGTTGAGAGCCCAAAAAGAGTAGTTACTATAGTTGCGTTTTATCGGAGTTCTACAGTTCGCAAATTGGCAACCGCTACGCCAATGAAACCTACTTATCTATTACCGTTAACGTATCAGACTTTAAATATATTATTGCTGGAGTCTTGCGTTGCTAATTTTGAGAGTAAAGGAGGAGCACGAAAACAAGCCACCCTGGTAGGTAGGTGGACTTACATCTTGATTTTTAAATATATAATTTCGGACAAATTCCTCGCGATATTATCTTATCTTACTTTTAATTTTCATTAATTCTGTTTCTTATAACAAATTATTATGGTCTTCTATCCTAGACGCTTATTGCATATATTTAGTAATTGAGATGTGATTCATTTTTCGGGACTCTGCTGTAACTGTATAAATTAATTATTCAGATAAAACAGTATGTAAGAATCATATGTGACCCCCACGCACCCAACGTGATCCGTTTAAAACAATCCCTTTAGATTTAACTCTCGTACATATTGTTGTCAATATAGTGTAGAGTTAAATAATAACAGAATCGTCGGCGTATTTATTTTAGACTTGTACACAAGGCCACACACCTGATAATTGCATTTAAAATATTTTTTTTAATTATAAAATTTTGTTGCAACTGAGTAAATTGTTATTATAAACGAGATCTTAAATATTTTTTGTCTGTTAGCGCCAAAGTTGTCTAATCAAATTATTAGAGTAGACGATAGACCTTGGCTATGGCGTAATTTAACATGAAGTTAACTCTATGTAGAGTTAACTCTATGTCGATCACCAGCAAGACATGATTTATCGGCTGGGAAGAGTTCTAATCCTCTTCAACTTTTTACAATAGTGTGAATCAATTAATACTATTATAAATACATAAAAATACGTCAAATTTTTACGACACTCGTTTTGCTACAGCAATTTGTGATGCCGTGTGTACAAGCTATAATAACGATTTTGTTAAAATTTAATTTCGATTATTCGATGGTATTTTGGTTTCGTCGCTTATTAATTATCATGTGGGTTTTTTTAATAGCATGTCTAGGTTGATACTACTCTATAGCTGTTGGGTTATGCTCATCGTTATTAATTTTTATTTTTTCATTTCATAACAAACTTGCACTACTTTATCATTTTTTTTTTCTTGATAATACTTAGTTTTGTTATTAGCTTCTTAAATTGACGGATGAACTGATTTTAGCTGATGTGTTTGTTATGATATTTAGTTTGTAACTTTGAGCATGGCCTAAAGTTGTATAGAGTTTATTTTTCCAATGAATTAAGTTGTTGTAATATCTTGTAATTATCAATGTTTCGTAATATATGTGTTTTTAAAATCGTGGATCTTCACTCATTCGGATACATCATTCCATCACTCATTACACAAACATACATACCGTTTGATTTTTAAAATTTTTAGGAGAAACTGAAAATGTTTGTATAATTTTCTTATATTTCCTATTCATTAAATATAATCTAAATTTAATTTTTATAAAGATAAAAATTTTATGTAGTTAACTAAAGGCACGTGAAAAGTTTTTGTTGGTATTATGGGAAATATTTTTAAAATGCCGAATTCCACGTTACGTCTCTTATTACCTGACATCTGAACACGACGCACGGAACAAATATTTGTATCACCTACAAATAATTGTTCCGGGTCTGGATATTTCTCCTCGTGCAATTTATGTATGTAAAATCCTTGTATGGGTGTAAAAAAACACGTCAATTTGTGGCTACAGCATAAGCAAGGAAATTATGAAATCGCCACATTGTTGGACACGATTAAGTTATGTAAAACTAACTTCTGGGACATAAACCGCACAGATTCTCAGCGTGGACTTGCCATTGAAACTGCAAATGTGCGTGCTCGTGTTCGCCACGCAACTGCTGTTCCTCGCCAACTTCGCCACAACTTTCCGTGTTAGGGGCTGCGGGAAGAATGGATCTACTGTCGCTGTAAGACCGATCCCATCGGCCAAAGCCAATACACTGTTTAGAAACCGTAGAGAATGTTTGTAAACTGGTTAAGATTGAGAACAACTTGTCACATTGAATTGTCTAAAATCTTATTTGTTTTCAGACCTTTAAATTACTTTGAAACAATTTGGAATAGTGTGTGAAGGGTCTCAGTAAATACTTCGGAATTCTGATATCCTATAGTCGTTTACAAATGTTCTCAACATTTTGACGGTGGATTGGATTTACTAACGGTTATATGGTACTCCTGCACATTTCAATTCGCGCTTTAAATATGGCATCTGTTATAACACTATTTATTTTCTTTCTTTGGTTACGGTCACTTCTATTTGCATATTTACGAAGAGTCACGCTCTTTACACGCCGCAGTGCAAATCTACTTATAGAACATGCTTTAATATCAAAGGCTTCTATGTATACTACAAGACCAGTAATTCAGAACAAAAACTGTGTCACAGCTGTGGCTTGCGCAGGTGCCAGCCGTGTGGGTAGCTGGCCCGGTAAATAAGCCTACTTATCTATACAAATAAATAAAATTGAAGTGTCTTGTCTGTTTGTTCTGGCTAATCTTCGAAATGGCTAGACCGATTTTGGCGGGACTTTCACTGGCAGATAGCTGATGTTACGAGGGTGGATTGAAAAGTACTCGGCCTAACCAAAAAAATAAACAAATACTAAATCAGTTATATTTTTATTTTTCTACATAATCACCATCAAGTTCAATACACTTTTGCCACCTCCCCTTCCAAGCATTTAGACCGTTGAAAAAAAATGATTCTTCCTTAGAGTCAAAATATGCGTCTACAGCTGCTTTGACCTCGTCGTTTGTCGAAAATCTTTGACCTCCCAAGTGCTTTTTTAGGTTAGGGAACAGAAAAAAGTCTGATGGTGCCAGATCAGGTGAATACGGCGGATGCGGTAACAGTTCAAAGCCACAGTTGTGAATTTCAGCCATTGACTGTACTGACGTGTGAACACGGGCGTTATCTTGATGAAACAGGACTTTTCTTCTGAGCATTCCTCGACGTTTTTCTTTTATTTCCTCTCGTAAACGACGTAGTAAGGTGCAGTAGTAATCAGAGTTTATATTCTGACCCCTTTCAAGATAATCAATCATAATCACACCTTTCGAGTCCCAGAATACTGAAGCCATCACCTTATTTGCCGACAAAATCGACTTAGCCTTTTTAGGGGGTGGTGAACCAGGTCTTCTCCACTGTTTTGATTGTTGTTTTGTTTCCAGTGTACAGTAATGAACCCATGTTTCGTCCATAGTAACAAAACGATTCAAAAAATCATCTGCATCGGCTTCAAATAACTCCAAACAGTCGCGTGAAATAGTCAATCGCGTCCTTTTTTGTTCAACTGAAAGCAGTCGCGGAACCCACCTCGCAGACACCTTGTGGAAACCCAACTCGTTGACAATGATGTTTTGAGTTCGTTCATAAGAGATGCCTATAATCTCGGCTATCTCTCTAATTTTTAATCTGCGGTCTCCCATTATTAAATCAAGTACTTTTTTAATATTTTCGTCAGTAGTTGACGTCGAAGGCCTTCCAGAGCGGGGTTCATCTTTCACACTCTCTCTACCACGCTTAAATTCTGCTATCCATTTTTTGACGGATGAATATGACAGAGCACAATCGCCTAATGTACTGACCATGTCATCATGGATGGCTTTTGATGATAGCCCCTTCTTATGGAGGTACTTAATGACGGCACGCTGCTCGATTTGCTCCATTCGCGGAAATTATGTCCGATTACTTTGTTAATAAATTTATAAAATCACAACTAATTATCGCACACGTTTCGAACTTCACACAATGAACTAGTCTGAACTGAACTAAATAATGTGGGTAGATTTGATTTTTAGAATTGAATGGATCTGTGTTAGGCCGAGTACTTTTCAATCCACCCTCGTATAAAGAGTAACTTAGGCTATTTTGTTGTAGAAATAGAATAAGGGTTCCGCGGAAAAAAAATTAAAACCCTAAATAACACGTAGGCGAAGTCGTGGGGAACAGCTAGTCTGAAATAATCTTCACATCACGTTGACAACATTAGTAATGCTGTCATAACTAAAACGCTGTCATTACTTATGTGCATAAGTAATGACAGCGTTTTCTTAGTCACATTAAACAAAATCTGTGTTAGATTGTTGAAAACAACGATCTCGTAGTTTTTAAAACAAAATAAAAACTAGTTTTCTCGGTCGCTCGCAGTGGACTAAAGAAGTGACGGGGAATTGACCGTAACTTAGTGGTAATGCCCGTCTATAAATATATATAAATATATTATAGTAGTGTACATAGAAGTCTTTGTTTAATAATTTTAATTTAATTATTTTAATGTTCTGGTCTTGTCGTTTGTAGGTCTACACGAATAATAAATAATTTATAATTTCGTTCTTAAGTATGTATATTGTTTATTCCCGCCTTTGCCTTTACGTTTTGAAATTTAAGTATATCTCTACAAAAATCGGATGTGATGAGACCAATGAGTGAAGATAGCACAAACGATGTATTTATTCTAAATTCGCTGGTATTAATGGCATGTTTTTATTTCTCTTTTTCTGTTGTCGCCGCCGCCGACCCCGCTCCGACGCCTCGAACGTAACTGCATGCCGCCATACTTGTGCACACGTCTACATACCGTGTGAACAGCAGCTACCCACCATCAACATCAGCATAAACCTGATGTCGAACTATGTCGTGGTCCTCTTGACGCTCTCCCTCGTTTTCGGCTACGTAAAAGTCATTATGAAAGGTGGAGTGGGCAAGAACGGCTCCACGGTCGCAGTAAGAGTTCACAATTTTGTAACGTTGCTCCTGTCTTACGTCGGGTGTTATGTCTGTCAAATGTGATGTAATGAATGCACATCACGGGTTACGCATAATCTGATTTATATGAATCTTGGTAACTCTTAATATTACCTGGGTATTTAATAATAATTGTCTACCATTAAATCACTGTTAATCGGGGATTATTGCAGTGCAATTATTTGCATAATATGTACACGTTGAAGAGAAACGCGTGTTTGTAAGGTATATTGATGACGTTAAGTTATATGTATGTATGAATATAGTCATATTGTACTTTGTCATTATTATAGCATGCGCCTGTATACGTAGAAGCTTAGCTTTGACAATTTTCAAAAATAATGACATGTAGAGACATGACAGTAATTGGGGTAGTCTATATATATATATATATATATATATATATATATATATATATATATATATATAGTATATTATTTTGAATAGACAGTCTCCTGTTCGACATCTGAACAAGCATTAACATCACACAATCTGCGTAACGTTTAGTGTTATGACGTCACATTCAATTCAAGGTAGAACCACAGCGACTAGGTATCTGTAGCTAGACGCAGGACTAATTTATGTGATTAATTAGCTTTTAGTGCTTCCATGTTCATTAGTGCTTATCTCATTATTTTCATACGCAGACGTGGTTTGATTTTTATATTTTATACCCTAGTAATTATATCGACAGTCAAAGCTTTGTGGGCGTAGCATAGAATGGAAAATAATAATTTTCGTTCAGTTTAAATCGCAAGAATACTTATTATTATGCTTTTTTATAGTATATTGTGACAAACGAGCACACAGTCAACCTGATGGTAAGTAGTTGCTGCGGCCCATAGACATCTACATCTATCCTCGTTTGCGAATCAAAATGCAGATGCGTTGTCACCCGTGAGGACTAAGATAGAATGCCTCGCTTCCAATAAAAAGGGCCTCCAGTTCTCTACACTCACCATACGAAACACAGCAGTGTTAAGCTGCTGTTTTACGCTGGTATTCTGTGAGAGCGTGGTCCTTCCCCGGTCGAGCCGACCCATTCGTGCTACAACTATACTACTAATATAGCTACAGCATAGCTCTACCACGTTGAAAACGTTTACCACTGGTTCAGAAAAAAACCTCTGTCCTGGAAAGAACCAGCAAGAAACCCAGCGGGCCTTTTTTAAACTTAAATGTACAATACATACAATACAATAATATGTTATACAGTTAAATATGAAAACACAACCGTATGATAGTGACTTAAATAGAGATATTATCAATTACGTATTCTTTAGTAGTATAATATTAATAAAAATTTTAAATTTTTGATAGATAGGTCCAGCATATTTCCTGGGACTTTCTGGGATTACCGATTATTTGAATTCGAGTTACTGGTATCACTAGTGCACGCTTGTTTTGAAATCACTATTTTTAATAAATCTGTTTTCGTGTTTGTTTATCGATATATTATCCAGATGGTAGATCGCTTTTTCTGCTTAGGAGTTTATCTTGATTGGTACTTGGTAGTACCCTCTTGTCTATTTTTATCACCGAGAAGCTACCCACTACTGTATTCTGATTTAAGGGTATAGAGTCAGGTCGTGGGCTTCATCCTAATCCTCAGAGATGGCAACGCAAATTTATGTCCAAAATTGAGGCTCAGTAGCTACTTACCAGTAGATGGACTGTTCGCTTGCTTATTACTTGAATAAAATAAAAAGAAGCATATTAGAATTAGCGATGGTGTTCACTTATTTTTACCGTCCTGTTTCCGACATAGGCCGTGTAGAAGCGGCTTAAAATAATCTATCACCCAATTTTGTCCCGTAAGAGGTGATTAAGGAAAATATATTTAGACGTGGTAGAGCCAAGCTGCAGCTATATTATGGTTGCAGCATGAATGGGTCGGCTCGACCGTTGTAGGACCACGTGTAGAAAAAACTCACCATATGAAACACAGAGCATTGAGCTGATATTATACCCAAAGATGCAAAAACCAAGGGAAATCATGCTCAATTTATTGTAAGAACACCTTTTCACGTACACATGTGTATCTAAAATAATTTGCGACCAACAACATGGTTTTAGTTGCATATGTGTGCGTCCAGCAGTGAGCTTTTACGGGCTGTTAAAGAAAGATGGAAGAAATAGGTGTGTGTGGGTGCGTGTAAAGAAGTTGAGCATGATTTTGACATCACGTGAAATGTAGATTGCGCTCGGTCTATCCTTATGTATTGGTCTAAGTTGGTAGGTAATATAAATTGTTTAGCCATGTTTGGCTTTTATGAGTCATAAGAGCTGCCATTTGTTCAAATAAAAGCTTACGTAGTAGAGCCAAGCTGCAGCTACATTATGGTTGTAGCACGAATGGATCGGCTCGACCGGGGTAGGACTACGCTCTCATAGAATAACAGCGTGAAATAACAGCTTAATTCTGCTTTGTTTCGTATGGTGATAGCAGGAAACGAGGCATTCCATCTTAGTCCTCAGGGGTGATAACGCATCTGCATTTGGATTCTTAATCGAGGATAAATGTAGATAGTCTATACTATAAGCCAAAGCATCCACTTACCATCAGGTAGACTGTGCTCGTTTGTCACTCTTACTTTTATAAAAAAAAGCTATTGTTACAGTTATGATTGGTGAAAATTGTATGTTACTATTTGTTATATATATATATATATGACAAGATAATTTTTTTAACGTATTAAACATAATAATAATGTCCTCCAGACCGAATTTCGGTCACGGCGGCCAGCCATGATGGAGACTAGCCACCTGCGCAGGACAGGATTATATTGCCCGAGTGTATCCGCAAGCACAAGTACACTCTATTACCTCACTCTCATCTCTCATAGTCGTAGAGGTCGGTAATCCGACACAACCGGAGAGAGATAAGGCGCAGGATTAACGGCTTTACGTGTTTTCGGAAGCCAGGGGTTAAACACCGCCAATTTCTTGATTCCGGGCTGCCACTGAGAATTTTTTGAGAAAAATACCAATCACTGTTTCAGTATTTGTTTATTAACTTATTTATTGTATTAACCCTTCTCTTTTCCTCTTTTTATTTATGTTCACTGATCTACTTTTTCCTAATCCGTTAGTATTTTTTTTTATAATAGGGTGACAAATGAGCACACAGTTCACCTGATGGTAAGTGGTTGCTGTGACCCTTAGACATCTACATCTATCCTCAATAAAGAATCAAAATGCAGATGCGTTGGCACCTGTGGGGACTAAGATGTAATGCCTCTTTTCCAGTAAAAAGGGACTCCGGTTCTCTACACTCACCATATGAAACACAGTAATGTTAAGCTGCTATTTTACGCTGGTATTCTGTGAGCGTGGTCCTTCCCCGGTCGAGCCGACCCATTCGTGCTACAACTATAATACAGCTGCAGCGTGGCTCTACCACGTATAAAAGTAGTAGTATATCGCACCCTGCCCGTTAATATTTCTCTTCTTTTCATTTAATTCGTTTTTTTGATTGTCTGAAAGAGTTACTATGTAGTAATGAAACCGTCTTTTGTTGTCCCTCAATATTTGCTTATATTTATCATTTATTTATTTATTTATTTATAATTGCATATATGTAATGTAATATAATATTTATAATAATAATTAATTTATATATTATATTATATTTATTATATTAATATTTCCTTGGCGTACAATAAACAGTATTTATTGTATTGTTATGTAACTGATTATAAAGACGATGCAAATTGTATTAATCCCAGCCGCCAAATTTCACGAACGCACATCGCGGCAGAACTCCCGATACCATCCACACCATCTGGATGATTGGCGGTCCACCACTGTGCGATTTAGAAGATGTTTTCTTCCTCGCACGACCTCCTTGTGGAATCGATTACCATCAGCGATTTTTCCGGACCGATACGACTTAGGGACCTTCAAGAAAAGAGCGTACTCCTTTTTAAAAGGCCGGCAACGCATCTGCGATTCCCCTGGTGTTGCAGTTGTTCATGGGCAGCGGTAGTCACTTACCATCAGGTGAGCCGCATGCTCGTTTGCCCCCTCTCCTATAAAAAAAAAAAATAACAATGACTTGAATCACAAACCACGTTTGCGTATATGCTGTGTTTGTTTTCTGTTGTGCTTGACTTGTAGCATGATTAGTTTTTTTCGTATTTGCTATTTTGTGTTTTATTAACTTGATGATAAATTACATATTTCTTCGTTAGATTTGGCTTTAGCTTTATTTGTTTGTGCTTGTTGTTATGTGCTTTTTTTTCTGTTTTAATTGTTTTATTAATATTGGAACATTGGCGGCAAAATTTGAATTTGAAAATTGTATGTAATTTTGTTAATTAATTCTCAAATTAAAGGAACGAATTTCGCTACTTACTTTCATATTTTTAAAAACATTTGAAAACAAGTTTATGTAAAAAATATACATATATATACCACGTTTTTAAAGCGGACTTAAAAATATTTTTTTTTCACATTGTCATCCGATACTGAACTATCTTCAAAATTTTAAGTCTCTTGCTCATCGGGAAGTTAGTTTGTAATCAATTATTAAATTCGACCCGCACAGACAACACGAAAGCAAGTTAATAAAAACGTGGTATTAAGAAATGAAATCGTGTAGTTTAAAATGTTTGCCGCCAATCTAAGGTTCAGCGTTTCTGTTATAAAACATAAAGCCAATTTTGCAAAATAATAAATTCTCAGTCAATGAGCGAGCAAGAATATACTATGTGGAAACGCTAGACCAATAACGCCAAATGTCTCCTGAGCCCGTGTTACAGCGCGACCTTCCCCAGGGCACCAGCATTCTGTCCCCGGTGATACCGTTCTCCTTCGTGGTGGTGCCGGCGTTCATCATCTTCCAGAAGAGCGAGTCCCACGTGTACGAGAATCATCCGTCGCTCTACATCATCGCCTTTGGAATGGTGGCCGCGAAAGTCACCAATAGACTTGTGGTGAGTGATGAAATTGCCAACAAAACAAACAACAGTTTACACGCGGTAGAATTGAAAGCTTCAGACAACGAGACCGAGACAATAGGAAACACAGTATACTGTATTCTATCTCATTCTTTCGCATATGTTTATGCTTCTGTTTGTCTCTTTTTAGTGTCGCCTTTCCATTTAAGTGTGGCGGTGGCGTTAGGAAATACACTACCTCATTTCGTTCCGTGCGATCAGACGTATATTGCCTGATTCCTATATTCGTGAAACGTTTACTTCTCTGTAACGATCCGTTTCATTACGAGGTGCATGCAAAAACAGTGTATATTACAAACTATTACATCAACTTCGGATGACTTACCGTTACAGCCTATTAAAATCCACAACTGAACATAGGCCTCCCCCATAGATTGCCCCATAGGGGGGATATTTGCCATAGTTGCCACGCTTGGCAAGCGAGTTGGCAACCGCAGTTTTTCTGCCGACTTCCAAAAAGGAGACGGTACTCAATTCGACTGTATGTTTTTTTTATAGATGTTACCTCATAACTTTGTACTGGGTGAACCGATTTCGATGATTCTTTTTTTATATGAAAGCTGATAGTTCACGTGTGGTCAGACCAATAATTTTTGAGTTATTCTTAAATAACTTATATTGAGGTCGGCTGTACAACATTTTTAATTTTAAATTATTTAATTCATTATTACTCATTATTAGAAAGATGCTGATATAGCCATCTCCTGATTTGTTTCCCTCTGTCACCTGTTACGACACCCACGGGATGATATGGAGTAGTGGATATTCTTACACCGCCACTACACGATAAGATGTCATGCTCGCTTAAAGGTCTCTGTTTGCGGCCAGGTCGCATAACGTGTAGTCAATATCCTTTTAATTATACATGGTAGAGTCATGCTGCTATATTATGGTTGTAGCATAAATGGGTCGGCTCGACGGTGAAGGACCACGCTCTCGACGAATACCAGTGTAAAATATCTGCTTAAGGCTGTTACGTTTCGTATGGTGAGAGCCGGAAACCGGAGACCCTTTTTACTGGAACGAAGCTTTCCACCTTAGTACTCAGGGTGACAACGTATCTGCATTTTGATTCTTAATCACATAATACAGCATCTACTTACCATCAAGTGGATACAGTCCACCCGTTTGTCACCCTTATTTTGTAAAAAAAACCATCGCACGCATTTGCCGCGTTGAATAACGCATAATACTAAAATATTACTAAAATATGACGAAGTAAATAATGCTATATCTAAATTAGTAAATTGGTTCGATGTTAATAATTTGCATTTAAATGGCACTAAAACAAAATGTATGAAATTCGTGACTCCAAATGTCAAACAATTAAATACTAATGTAATTTTAAATGGGGAGAAACTGAGTCTTGTAGATACCACCATTTTTCTTGGAATCACACTAAACGCGAAGCTTCAATGGAGCCCCCATATATCAAAACTAGCAAGCAGACTTAGTTCTGCAGCATATGCTGTAAAAAAGATTAGAAGTCTAACCAGTGTTGAAACAGCTAGACTAGTTTACTTCAGCTACTTCCATAGCATAATGTCGTATGGTATTTTGCTATGGGGACACGCAGCTGACACTGAAATTATATTTGTTTTGCAAAAGAGGGCCATAAGAGCAATTTATGATTTAAAGCCTAAAGAGTCGCTGCGACAAAAATTTAAGGAAATTAATATATTAACTTTGGTCTCTCAATACATTTATGAAAATGTAATGTACGTACACAAAAATAAAAGTAGTTTTACAAAAATAAGTGATATTCATTCTGTAAATACTAGGAACAGACACAAGCTAGTAGTACCAGTTACTCGACTCCATCGAGTCAGTAATTCATTCTTGGGGCGATGTATACGCTTTTACAACAAAATTCCAGAAAATATACAAAGTTTGACCTGTTCAAAGTTCAAAAACTTTATTAAACTAAGTTTGTATAAAAAGGGTTATTATAATATTAAGGAATTTATGGATGATAATAACCCCTGGAAATGAGGTGATCGCTACCAAGCTATTTCTAATTTGTTGTGTTGTTAATTTGTGTAACATCATGATTGTAAGCTGTTATTTTAAAAAAAAAGTCCCGCTGGGTTTCTTGCTGGTTCTTCCCAGGACAGAGGTTTTTTTTTCAAACCAGTGGTAATTAAACAAAAGAGTGACTTTCAATAAGTATTATTTATAATCTATATTGAATAAAAAAGTTTCTGTTTCTGTTTCAATGTTATTCACAAAAAGAAAAGTACATATAAGACAGACAGCCATTTTGTCGCGTTCAGATTTATTATAGCTAAAGTATGAGACGAAAACTGTTCCGTTTCAGGTGGCCCACATGACAAAGAGCGAGATGGATTACTACGACTGGTCGATGCTGGGCCCCTCGATGCTGTTCCTCAACCAGTATTTCAACAATGCACTGCCTGAATACTATGTGCTGTGGATGTGTACGGTGAGGATGCAGTTCTAGTATATTTGTTCATTATTTTCTTTAACTAACTAAGCTAACCCCCACTATATAAATTTCACAAAAACAAACGACCAGGCCCGAAAAAATCATTAGTAGCCCATAAAAATACTGTGAACAATTTGTTCCGTCCGATATTCGAACTCGCGGCCCCAGCGCCGCAGCTCATTGCTAAACCACAGCGCCACGAAGCCGTCAAGTTAATTAGTCTAGTTTGGTTATGACCTAAGAAGAGATAAAGACCTAACATTTTTTTTTTTAATAATATAAGGGTGACAAACGAGCACACAGTCCACCTGATGGTAAGTGGTTGCTGCAGCCCATAGACATCTACATCTATCTTCTATTACAAATCAAAATGTAGATGCGTTGTCACCCGTGAGGACTAAGATGGAATGCCTCATTTCCAGTAAAAAGGGCCTCGGGCCACCTGCACTCACCAAGCGAAACGCAGAGGTAAACCTCTACTTCACGCTGGTTTTCTGTGAGGTCGTGGTACCACCCCGGTTCGAGCCGGCCCATCCGTGCGACAGCAAAAGCTGCCGCGTGGCTCTACCACTGTTATTATATACATTTAAGATGTTCAAAGTATGTCAATATATAATACAAAAAGGTTATTATAATTTTAAGTAAAACAAATCAAAATAACCCCTTCTATCATAATTCAAATAGTTGCGCGACACTAGTTACCACTAGCGCCCTCTAGTATCCAGTAGCAGAACTAGGGAGAGTCAAGAACATTCTGAAAATTTCCATGGAAACAAAATTGTACAAAATTTTTGTAAAGTTATTTATCTAATATGTCTAAAAAATATCCCGCTGGATTTCTTGCTTCTTCCCAGAACAGAAGTTGTAAAATCCGAACCAGTAGTAAATAAAAAAATTACTATAAGTGTTATGTAATTACCTATATTGAATAAAAATTATTCCATTCTATTCTACCTCCATGGGGTTAAAATGATAGATCCACGCTGCAGCTATATAATGTTTGCTGGAATGGGTCGGCTTGACCGGGGAAGGACCACACTTTTACAAAAACAGAAATAGCAGCTTAATGCTGCTGTGTTTTGTATGGTGAGATACGAACTTGAGACCCTTTCTACTGATAATGAGGCGTTCCGTCTTAGTTCTCAGCGATTGTTGTAGCTGATAGGCTGAATGCATGGATGGATGTATGGTACTAGAATAAATAGAGATATTAAAAAAACATTTTAATTGAAATCAATTGAAACAAATTAATTAATTTAAAACTTAGTTCTGTAAGAAAGTTGACAGTTAAAATCTATTCGAATCGAATTTCATGAAAACCATTATGTAGTAGCATATTAAATACTAGTGACCCACTCGGCTTCGTCTGGATGTGTGTTTATCAATGTCGCGTTAATTAAATGTGAGATAATCATTGAGTATTTATTTAATTTTTCGGCTAAAATATGGACTAGAAGCTCTTCTCACTGCTCTTTTTCTGTAATCTATTTGCTGTAATTCTATTCGTGAAGTTCCAGCACAATCGGTTCAGCCATTCCGAAGATTATCCTGGACAGACAGACAGGCAAAATTAAAAAAAAATGCTCTTGTATGTCCCAATCCATCCATTACAGCCTATAAAAGTCCACTGATGAACATAAGCCTCCCTCCCTCATGGATTTACCATAGTTGCCACGCTTGGCAAGCGGGTTGGAAACTGCAGTTTTTTATTCGTTTGATGTTATCAGGAAGATGCTGCTGCCTATCTCCTGTTACATTTCCCCTCTGTCGCCTCTTACGACACCCACGGGACGATATGGAGTAGTGGATATTCTTACACCGCTACTACACACGGTTATGTCTCAATGGTATGCAAATAACCCCCAATAATAATAATCAATAGAAGTCAGTTCAGTCAGTCAGACACTTCAATTTTATTTATACGTATTTAAATTTAAATTTTTTGCTTAAATTTACTAAAATGACATCCATTTTTTTTTTCAGATATGGGTCTGCATTGACTTTATGCGGTATTGCGGTCAGATATGTCTAGAGATTTGCGACCATCTCAAGATTCGGTTGTTTTGGATCCCGTACCCGCCGGTGAACGTGCAAGCGAACATGCAAACGAGCGCGCACGAAAGAAATGGTACAACTGCACGACGTACACAAGCGAAGTTGGCAAAGCGTGCTTCACACTCATAGGTCTTATTGTAATGACCGGGTAGAGATATAGATATAGAAACTGGATAGATGCGGAGACTACTATGCCGTTGGACAATTTATTGCGAAATGTTGCGGGCAACTGTAATCCATGTTATACTTTAATTTGAAATAATTTTATGGATTCTACCGCGTTTAATTTTAACTTTTTAAATCCCGACGTTTCGGGTGCTTTACAGCACCCATGGCCGCGGGGGCACTGAGGGAACTGACACCTGGGTGTTTTAAAGCATCCGAAACGTCGGGATTTTTAAAAGTTAAAATTAAACGCGATAGAATCCGTAAAATTAGTTTCATTTAATGTGTAATATTCGCGTAAATATAACAAATCCTATGTTAAACTTGTTTACGGTCTAAACAAGACTTGACTATCGTTTTGTTGTTTCTTTAAAGTGTTATATATACAAGATATATGTTTATTTGTGTAATTATCAACTCGGGTCGTATCGCACCAAACGGGTAGAGATATAGATATATAAACTGGATGAGATTAGGGACACTATACATTGAAGTAATATGTACTACGTACTAGAAGAGACTCCGAGACTTGGTTGCTTGCAATACACGTGAGAGCCCAGAAACAAGTGATCCGATGGTACTATGAACCTCAAGATAAGGTGTCGGTCTGCTTAGGCGCCTTGAGATACTATCGCTAACTGTCTGCTGGCTCAAGTTGCCGTCAAATTCTCCCAAAAACTGCAATGTGACGCATCAAATGATTATTATCACTTGATACTGAGATAAATAAAGACATGACTTAAAGGACAAGCATCCAAGTCAGAAATCTTAATTAAAAAGAGATTTTATTCGCGGTGCCTGTTCTAGTACGTAGTACATATTACTTCAAAGGAGACTATACAGAATTTATTGCGAAATGTTGTGGTGAACTATAATCTATGTTAAACTGTTTGTCTTTTCTTTAAACAGTTATATATACAAGATGGATGTTTATTTGTGTAATTATCAGCTCAGAGGTCGTATCGCAGTGAGCGGGTAGAGATATAGATATACAAACTGTAATAGATCGGAATGGGGAGACATCACAGTTTGGCAAATTGAGAAATGTTGCGGATAACTGAAATCTATGTTAAACTGGTCTAGAGTCTAAACAAGGCTTAACTATCGTTCTGTTGTTTCTTTAAACAGTCATATATACACAGATATACAGGTGTACAAATGGGAATATATGAGGAGACTTCTATAGTTTTGTTAAATTTTTGCCAAATGTTGCGGGCAACTGTTACGCTCTACCTACGTTGGTAACTGGTCCAGAGTATATATAAATTAACTGTTGTTTGGTCGTTTCTTTAAACAGTTCTTTTAACAAGTTAGATGTTTGTGCAATTATCAGAAGCCATTTTGATATCGCGATGTATTAAATTTTCAACTTCAATAATAACTACTGTTTCAATCTACTAAAGTGCACTGCTAAATAGAGGCCTCCCCCATAGATTGCCTTATAGGGCTGCTATTTGCCATAGTTGGCAAGCGGGTTGGCAACCGCAGTTTTTCATTTTTAGTCGTTATTAGGAAGACGCTGGTGCCCATCTCCTGATTTGTTTCCCTCTGTCGCCTCTTACGACACCCACGGAATGATATGGGGTAGTGGATATTCTTACACCGCCACTACCACGGTATTAACTAATTTCTTGCCAAATACATATACATAGTATTGTAGGTTCTAGTATAGGGTTCCCCTTGTCGACACACAAGTGAGACACTTGCCAAAAACTATAAGCGGTCCATATATCTGGTCCGTGACGTTATAGATAAAGCATACTTGTGAAAAGTTAGATATATATATTTATACAAATTGATTACACTTGAATTCCACAAAAATCTGCCCGATTAAATAAAAGTAGTTTTTAGGGATCCGTAAAAACTATTTTAATTTAAATGTATAGTGTTCGCGTAAACATAAGAAATGATAGAACTCTGCCCGCTCAATATAATTCTCAGTAATGAGTCCACCGTAGACATGTGTCATTCATTCATTTCTAGTGGCCCGATTAATCAAGTATTGATTCGTCTTACGAACCGGGTTATTCGGGTCGACCATTCAAGTGGATCATTTTCGAGTTTCAGTACTCTGTGATTTGTGAGACCCGCTCGATAATGTCGTTCGTCGGACTCTTTGGCCGATATTACAATCATCGATACTTTGGACCCGGGTCAAATGAACGAATCGTTCACGTTTGACATGTGTATGTCTAGTCCACCGATGTCAAGAGAGATACTAACTGTAATCTGTTTGCTAATCACAGTGTTAACCTCAATATTATTGTACTTATGCTATATAACTAAGCTAGCTGACTCTCAATATTATTATAAATAATATGTGATAGAAACGATGCTGCAGTTTGCTGTAGATGGCGCCACTTTATATATTTTTTTAGTTTCATACCTATCTTATTACCAATATATTACAGCTTATTAAAGTCCACTGCTGAACATAGGCCTCCCATATAGATTGTCTCATAGGGGGGATATTTGCTATAGTTGCTAACGCAGTTTGTTAATTTTTGGTCGTTATTAGGAAGACGCTGCTGCCCGTCTCTTAATTTGTTTATATCTGTCTCCTCTCACGGCACCCACGTGATGATATGTGGTAGTGGATATTTTTACACCGCCACTAATGGTTCAAAATATATTCATGGAGTACATTTGTGGTAAAAATTTAGGAATTACTTTACTGTGTGGAAGGGCTCCATTTAGGAGTCCGATATGGTTGATACCACCTTCGTACATACTTCTATTGTCAGACAACATTATATCCACTAACTGCTTTGTTCCGGTTTGCATTATGATAATAAATCTATAGCCATTCTAACTTAGTCTTCAAGGGTGACACCGCGTCTGTTACCTTCATTGCTTAAAGTTGGTTACCGGTGTCCATGAGCAACAGTTGCCATTTAGCATCAAGTAGACTGTTAACTCGTGTGTCAATATAAAATACTGTATAAATGTAAGGGCACGTTAAGTTACAATACTGATCTGTGACGGTTCCGTGCACAGTGGCTTATCAATGAGTTGCGGTGCTGGGGGCTGCGGGTTTCAATCCCGTACGGAACAAGCATTTGCTTCTCCAAATAATTGTTCTGGGACTAGATGTTTGTCCTTGTGAAATTTACATATGTACTTGTGTACTTTACGATATAGGAGAACGTCCCAGTGCGAGGGTAACTTTAAAAAAAAGAATAAAAGAAAATAATGATTTTCTTGAATAGCATACGTAATCTGGCAAGAATGATTATTATTATAAGTCCCATTGACTTTAGCACGTATGCGTTGTGATGCCGACATGCCTTGAGATTATATTTCTAATGTCTACAAGCCCCTGTGAACTAGATATAATTAATAAATGCAGCCACTTATTTTGTCGTAGCTTGGCATTTGTTTAATTCAACCAAATAAATATTTTAATAACTTTTATGTTAAGGGTTTAAAAAAAAGTATTAATTTTGTTTTAAACTGGTAAACAATTAGTTAAAGAAATAGAGAGTAATAGTTACGTTTGACACAACAGTGGCGCCATTAACGGCAGAAATCAGCTCTTTTCGCAATTGCCACCTTACTACTATAGTCTTATGGTTAGTTTTCGCTCCTTTTGCTTATGTTTTCGTAGTTTTATGGTGTTATACGTGATGTTTGTATGGTGTCGGCCAAATTGATTCAAATATACTAAAATAGTGTATTCTATAGTCTTCAATAAAAGTAAATTGAAATACATGTTTATTGGCAGTTTAATAAACTTTAGGGCTTGTATTACATCGCTGCCTTTAGTGTTATGTAGGAATTTTAAAAACCGATATTCTCTTCTGCGGGCCTTACTTACTAACCCATATTTGACAGATATATTCGATAATTTTGGGACAGAATATAATGCTGTGTCATTGTTTTAGATCGAAAACGCGTATTGGGTTGTTACGAAGTACTAATTGATGGTTACGCGCAGTAAGTGATGACGGATGTGTGTTAAGTTTGCCAGTTTGGACTTTATTGTTTAGAACATTAGGTTGATATTTTAACGTATAGGACTATTTTGTGTAGGCTACAGCGCCGAATCATTTTATACAAGTTTGTTTTATGTCAAAGAATAGACTGGTATCATTTTACATATTTTGATTTTCTAAAAGCTTTTTATCCAAGAAATTATCTGTGTTATTTTTTCTGTTATATGCACGCTAAGTTACTATTCAAATCCTCATCTCTCTCTATGCCATTAAAAATAATTGTTTTAATTGAAATTAAAACAGGTCCAACTATAAGTTACATACTTGAAATTGTGAAAAGTTCTTGTTTAACATTATTTTAGACATTTTTATATATTGTATTGATTATCTTTCAACCGTTTTGACGTTAGTTTTGACTGTGATATAGTCACCTTGTTCAAATCAAAGAATATAGTAAAACGTGCCTAGGGTAGTTGAAATTTATTCGTTCGTTTTTGTCTATTTTTGTTTCAGATTTAGAGCGCTAAGAAATTTTTATTTCATCTTATAATACACTATAAGGCTTTAAATCTATTTGGGTATTTGAGTGAAAAAAGATTGTTAAAATAAAATACGAATCAAACTAATAAAATTCGGGTTCTGGGTGATTTTTTCTACAGCGAAATGCGTTTTTTTCAGTCACATATCCAACAACCGACCTTTAGTTATCAAATTCAAACACTTAACACCTTAATATACCAATAACAATTCTACTGTTTTCGTTATAAGGTTGAAATTGTGTAAGCTAGTCTTAATCGGTGTTGGCTGCCTATCACTAAGCTACTCTGTACGTTGTCGCAATTTCCTGCTATTTATGTGTATTATCTTTCTATTTATGTATACGTAGTAGCTACGGGTTAGTGCGCTAACTCTGTGTACCTCGTTTAGGTAAAATATATACGGCAAAGAAATTAAAAAAAAAATCCCGATGTCGCAAGATTTTTTAAACGTTTGATACGTTTGAACTAAAACTTTGGTGGTCTAATTTTTAATAATTTAACACTGTCTCATGACTATTAACGCTTAGATATACCTAATATTTACAATCTAGTGAACGAATTGTTCTCGTGAAATATAAAAAGCACAATTAATATTTTAATAACCAAATGTAATACAGATTATGTTATAGCCGACGAGTTAAAGAAATTTCTAGCTTTCTGATTAGCTTTTGTTGGTATGTCGTTAAAATAATTAGATTTTATGGCTAAAGTTAACAAGTTGAGTACCCTACCGCATGTAATACCGCATATATTATCTGTATAAATGAATTTAATTTCTACATCAATATGAAAATTCGTCAAAGGAACCACCATCAAAAGTGAAAGATTGAAGGAGCATTCGTGAAGCCAAATGGCAATTTTCGCAGTGAAGCTATTCATAGTTTTAAATCGTTAGTTACCAACGAGAGGCACTTTAGTCGATCTGTAAATATCTGTTAATAGTTGTCTCGTTATGAGTCATGTAAGATATAATGTGCAGTGTATTTTTATGTCAAATATAAGCAAATGTACATTTTCCATTATTGTTTTATTACGACACTTGACTAAGAGACGAAATACAATCGTAAATTTAATAGTCTCAAAAAGCCAAAAATATATCCTTCCCCTACTGATTTAATAGAAAATTAAAAATATATAATATACTCCTTTCATAGACTTTAAAATGTCCAATGTTTCAGATTGCTTTGATATATTAAAGCTACATGTATCAGGATGCTAAGGTTAGTTCAGCTTCTAGAGACCCTATCCTTTTTAATACAATATGTTTTTTCTTTGAGTCTTCTTTAATCCTTGTAATGCTTTTATAATGTACAGTTGACGACACAAGTGCTTAATGTATATATTTTTATTTATGCTTTGTACTTATATGCATGATATCTTCTATCTTTTATAACATTGGCTTTGAATGCTTCAGTTTCGCTTATTAATTATACACATTTTCAATTTTGTGACGTTTAAATATGAACTCAAAAGCTTTTGTGATATATTTCGTATATAATTGAGGTTTTTTTTTTCACAGTGACAAGTGACAGCGAGAAATCAGAATCGGAGGACTCGGCGCCGCTGCTTAATAATAACAGTATTATTACATAAATACATAGTTTCATTATTTAACTTAAATTTAATACGATATATTACAAAGCCTCTTTTGAATAAATGCAAATCAAAAATACTCTGTATGATTTCGTCACTAAATAATTTTATTTTCAATTATGTAAAATCAATTTCCAAATTCATAATTCGCATAATATACTGATTAATAAATAATTGCAATTTTATATAACAGTCATGTTTAGAGATTGAAAACTAAGATATATGATTATTAATGTAATGAGATTTTATAATGCAGTATTTAGTATCGAATGGAAATGTATCAAGGAATCCCGTAATTTTCACACTAAGTAATATTCCAGTTTCGAGACATGGATAATGAAAAATTAAGTCAAGTAATTTTGAATACCTATAGAAATATTTAATAGGACCAAGTTCACTAGGTTCAAGGAAATAACAAGTATCACTTATTACCTTTATAACTTTTATCAGTCTAAAATATGATGTGATGCAAATAATTTAAAAACTAACCAAATGTTACCAAACAGTCCTTCAGAGATAGGACGGCAGTATCCCGAAACTATCATAAACATTTCTATCTACTATAAAACACCATAAATACTGTAAACACGAGAGTATTCCGTCCGCTTTTGTCTTATTTAATGGTTTAATTACATTTTTTACAAACTAATAATGTATCACATTATTCAATAAATAGCATATCAAATAATTGTCTCTAAATGTCGTGCACGACTGTACATTAAATTAAAATGAAGTTTGTATTTACTAAAAAATAGAAGAAGGCTTTAGTAATTATGCGACAGTTACCACATCAACAGAACTGCTGAATTCTATTTGTTTATTTTATATTATACTTACATTAGCAAAGAAAAGGCGCCTGCGTACATTTCAAGTAATGCAAAAACCAAGCCAAGACAATGCTCAACTTATTGTACTCATAAGAACATACAACGTACACATGCGTCTTAAATCATTTGCAACCCTACTTGGTTTGAGGTGCATATGTGCATCAAGCAGTGGACTTTCACGCGCTGATAAAGAAAGAAGGTTGAGCATGGTTTTGGCATCACTTGAAATGTAAGCAGGACTTCGTCTATCTTTATGTCTTGGTCTGTGACATAATGGTAATATTCTGTCAATATATGACAAAATGCTTGCAAACGATGCCACGTATTAATAATAATTTAGTTATTTATGGTTTGACTTCGTGACACGTGTGTAACGTAGATTTGATATAGAAAGAATATCCTATCTACTTTATCTTAGTTAATAAACCACGCCTTCCGATTCCAATTTGCACTTGGATCTTCTTAGAACGGGTCCGACATTGAGAGTTTAAAGAGTAAAATTATTCCAATAGTAAACTCCGATTCTATTCTTTTTAAACAGACATCTGTGTGCGTGTATACGCATGTGAATAAATAGAGTTTTGATATCGTCTTTAGTTAATAATATTGTATGTTATTAAAAAAAATGCAATTGCTCGCAAATTGAGAAGTTGATGATGTCAACAACAAATAGTGGTGTGGTAAGCGGCACTAAGGTGGTGTCGTTAGCAAGAAGTCTTTGAAAGAAATAAGCCTAATTAAGTAATATCGTTATAATCGGCGTTTTTTATCACTTTGTATAACAAAGCACTGGTATATCGGCTAGAAACAGTATTGATTTGTGAGTTACATTATTTCGTGGTTATTGAACGTCTAATCTATACATAGAAATAATATTAAAGTGTCTGTCTGTAATATTGAAATAACGGGTTTCTATTAAACTTATTTCTGTTTATTTACATGCTACTAAGACATAAAAAATAATTTTTTTTTGCCTGTCTGATGAAACTACTAAGTATATTTTTTTTTTTTAGAGAAAACGAAACGTTGATAAAATAAATGGTCTTTGATTACCGTACATCTAAATAACGCTATATTCTAAAGATGATCTTACCAGACGAATCCGGGGCTGGTTGCTAGTTATTTTCATAAAACGCAAGGTTCAATACAATGGTTATTTGGACTATGAACATCTGACTTTAATTTTCAAGTGTGATGACAAAGTTACTCAATAATGTTAAGTGATACATACGTAGGTCACCACTGTTGCTAGTGAGTCTGAGGTAAACCCGGTCAATATCTTTATAATTTTCGTTAATAAATTAATGCGTAGTTTGTGAAAAGTATGTTTTTTAATTATTTGAATTATTATGATTATTTTGTAAGGTTTGCTTAATTAAGGATTTCACTACATACCATCAGACCTGAGCTAGGGAATCATATTATTAACCGACTTCAAAAAGGAGGAGGTACTCAATTCGACTGCATTTTTATGTGTGTTACCTCGTAACTTTTTTCTACCGATTTTGATGATTCTTTTTTTATTTGAAAGCAGGTGCTTCTCATGTGGTTCCTGGTCATGGTCTGACCAGTAGTTTTTGAGTTATCCACAATAATTTATATTGAAGTCAGTTTTACAAAATTTTTAATTTTACCACTTGTTTGTTTTGTAATCATAATATGATATGTAGAATTAAGTGACGGAATATGCAATTGAATAAGATTTAAACGTATAGTTTGTTGTGATTTTATACGGAATAAATACTCTTACATGTTATTATAATTGGTATTTTATTTTATATATTGACCATTTTCGCGTTAATTTGAATTTAGAACGTGAGTTTAAAACATTGGATCGACCAAGATGGACCACGCTTTCGCAGAATATCATTATAAAATAGCAGCTCAATGTTGCTATGTTTCGTATGGGGAGTGTAGATAAACAGACCCTTTTTACTGGAAACGAAGCATTCCATATTAGTCCTCAGGGGTGACAACGCAACTGCATTTTGACTCCTAAGCCCCACCAGGTGGAGTGTGTGCTCGTTTATCATCCTTATTATCTATAAAATATATATTCCTTTTAAAAAAGATCAGAATCTTTTGTGTACTTGGCGACCGCTTCACCTTAGTGGGTAGTAGTTCATTTTGAAACAAGGAAAAGGTCGACTGGTGCTTGGTTTCTATATGAAGTTGATAAATCAAGATTCATCACCTGGTGACGAGGCATTCAGGGGTGACAACGCATCTGCTGTTTAATTCTAAGTCGAGAAGAGATGTTTATGCGCCATAGTATCTACTTATTATCTAGCACAGAGATTCCTAAAGTGGGTTCCGAGAAAAAGTCACCACAGGGTTCCGTGAAATTATTTATGTTTGCATGTTAAATAATTTCACTTGGTACAAATATTATTTTGTAATTGCGCAAAACAATGAGAAGAACCCATTACTGCTCTGTAGTACGTAGGTATGTATCGAAAATTGTATTATAATATTTCACTGCACTGTCTATGATATGTAATCATTTGATATGGGGTTCCATAAAATAAAAGGGATTTGGTGAGTGTTCCATTACCATAAAAGTTTGGGTACCCCTGATCTAGCGTATTTTATAAAAAAAAAACAATTTAAAAATGAGTTATTATGTTCAGAGTTCAGAACTAATTAAAAAGTTAAAAAAAATTAGACAGTGTTATTTTGCAATATACGGCCAAATCTGCAGAGAAGGTTCAGAATAAGTAGTATAAGCGAACGGCGAAGAAAAATTAATTTAAAAAAACGAACATCTTGTCCTTTTTATCTTTTGAATTCAGAATGCGTTTTAATGAATTATTTTAACTGATTTTCATTCATAAATATCTAACGTCTACTATTTACTACGCACGCATATAATCGTAAGGGTCAATCTACGGAATATAAAAAACAAGAGGAAGTAGCAAAACGCATAATTTGTAGCAGATCCACTGTCGCCAAACTCACACATACGGAAGAAAGAAATGTGTACCGACAATTGTGTAATTGTGTTCCATTTCAATAATTTTTGCGTGATTGGCTATTAAAAAATAAAAGAGAAAGGCATTATGTTACTCACCATTCACTTGAGTACGAACCATACTATCTTAAAAATAGAGATCATATTACTTTTCACCAACGAAGTTTCTAGAATTAATGAGCAAATTTAGCTTCTTAACGTTAGATGACGCAATAATAAATTCACGCTATTACAGATATAAGCACAATAGAAATAACATTGACATTTCCCTACCTAACCTGTACTGCTACCTAAATGATGTTAGTGATGTAGTTACTCTCCCTGAAAGTGATCTGGCTTATATTGATATTCAGTATAAATAATTATTATGATGTATATGAAATGTATTGACTGAAGAAACAGAATTGAAAAAAATATGATAAAATGAGTGAAATTGCATGAGATATTGTCTTGCAAATTGTGTGTAAAATACATTGATTTCTTATCCTCATAGGTATTTTTACTTAATCCCCACGTTAAAAAAAATATGTTTATTATTCTCATAAATAATTCAGTATAGAGATCTAACTTTTATTATGTAAAAATATCGATAAACAATATATCGATAAAATTATTCGAGGATAGATACTCAGCACTATCGTAGTTCGTCAATGTTGTCAGCACTGTTTGTCAAAACTAAATGTCATATCTTGATGTTGGTAAAGTTAGCTTGGCGTACTTTCATGCATTTACTTTTACCACAACTTTTACTATGGAAGTCCCGCCTCTTAAAGGTAGTGATTATATTCTCTTTGGCGAAATTATCATTTATGAAATGGAAACAAGGAAAATAGTAAAAAACAATAACTTTGCAATTATTTACTGTCATTGAAATAACACATATTTGTTTAAAATTACTATTTTCACACTTTAATATTAAAGTTTACACGATAATTAATTCAGATACTAATGTAGATCATGATATTAAGATGTTGTAGATTCAAGTAGGTTATTAGTCAGAGAAAAATACTGGCAGCTATTGCCTATGCTTATGCATAATATAAATATATATATTACTTTTTATTATGACTTTGATCCATGATGTTTTAAAATGAAAAACTAACGGAAAGGTGTTTTAAAGGACATGAAGAAAAATTTTTATTTTTAGCTCTATTAAAAAACGTTACCCCCACACTAGGATTTTCTCCTGTATCGTGGAGGTA